ACCTCAGGCGCCTGATTCTGCACCTCAGCCGCCGAATGTGGGACCTGTTGGTTCAGCATCCAGCAGCCCGCAGCAGCCAGGGGCAGCCAGCGGCAGCAAGGCACCCGATTCGGCACCTCAGGCGCCGAATGCTGCGCCTCAGGCGCCGAACGCGGCGCCTCAGGCGCCTGATTCTGCACCTCAGCCGCCGAATGTGGGACCTGGTGGTTCAGCATCCAGCAGCCCGCAGCAGCCAGCAGCCCGCAGCAGCCAGCGGCAGGCAGCTGCAGCGAGGCGCCCGATTCGGCACCTCAGGCGCCTGATTCTGCACCTCAGCCGCCGAACGCGGCGCCTCAGGCGCCTGATTCTGCACCTCAGCCGCCGAATGTGGGACCTGGTGGTTCAGCATCCAGCAGCCCGCAGCAGCCAGCAGCCCGCAGCAGCCAGCGGCAGGCAGCTGCAGCGAGGCGCCTGATTCTGCACCTCAGCCGCCGAATGCGGGACCTGGTGGTTCAGCATCCAGCAGCCCGCAGCAGCCAGCAGCCCGCAGCAGCCAGCGGCACGCAGCTGCAGCGAGGCGCCCGATTCGGCACCTCAGGCGCCTGATTCTGCACCTCAGCCGCCGAATGTGGGACCTGTTGGTTCAGCATCCAGCAGCCCGCAGCAGCCAGGGGCAGCCAGCGGCAGCAAGGCACCCGATTCTGCACCTCAGCCGCCGAATGTGGGACCTGGTGGTTCAGCATCCAGCAGCCCGCAGCAGCCAGCAGCCCGCAGCAGCCAGCGGCAGCCAGCGGCAGCAAGGCACCCGATTCGGCACCTCAGGCGCCCGATTCGGCACCTCAGGCGCCGAATGCTGCGCCTCAGGCGCCTGATTCTGCATCTCAGCCGCCGAATGTGGGACCTGGTGTTTCAGCATCCAGCAGCCCGCAGCAGCCAGCGGCAGGCAGCTGCAGCAAGGCGCCCGATTCGGCACCTCAGGCGCCGAATGCTGCGCCTCAGGCGCCTGATTCTGCACCTCAGCCGCCGAATGTGGGACCTGGTGGTTCAGCATCCAGCAGCCCGCAGCAGCCAGCGGCAGGCAGCTGCAGCAAGGCGCCCATTTCGGCACCTCAGGCGCCGATTGCGGCGCCTCAGGCTCCTGATTCTGCACCTCAGCCGCCGAATGTGGGACCTGGTGGTTCACCATCCAGCAGCCCGCAGCAGCCAGCGGCAGGCAGCGGCAGCAAGGCACCCGATTCGGCACCTCAGGCGCCGAATGCTGCGCCTCAGGCGCCTGATTCTGCACCTCAGCCGCCGAATGTGGGACCTGGTGGTTCAGCATCCAGCAGCCCGCAGCAGCCAGCGGCAGGCAGCTGCAGCAAGGCGCCCATTTCGGCACCTCAGGCGCCGATTGCGGCGCCTCAGGCTCCTGATTCTGCACCTCAGCCGCCGAATGTGGGACCTGGTGGTTCACCATCCAGCAGCCCGCAGCAGCCAGCGGCAGGCAGCGGCAGCAAGGCACCCGATTCGGCACCTCAGGCGCCGAATGCGGCGCCTCAGGCGCCTGATTCTGCACCTCAGCCGCCGAATGTGGGACCTCGTGGATCAGCATCCAGCAGCCCGCAGCAGCCAGCGGCAGGCAGCGGCAGCAAGGCACCCGATTCGGCACCTCAGGCGCCGAATGCTGCGTCTCAGGCGCCTGATTCTGCACCTCAGCCGCCGAATGTGGGACCTGGTGGTTCACCATCCAGCAGCCCGCAGCAGCCACGGGCAGGCAGCGGCAGCAAGGCACCCGATTCGGCACCTCAGCCGCCGAATGTGGGACCTGGTGTTTCAGCAGCCAGCAGCCCGCAGCAGCCAGCGGCAGGCAGCTGCAGCAAGGCGCCCGATTCGGCACCTCAGGCGCCGAATGCGGCGCCTCAGGCGCCTGATTCTGCACCTCAGCCGCCGAATGTGGGACCTGGTGGTTCAGCATCCAGCAGCCCGCAGCAGCCAGCGGCAGCAAGGTCCTTGATGCTGCGCCTTAGTAACATTTTGAAGAAGACATTGCAGGACAGGCGTTAAGCGTTGGCATGGATTTGAAATTCTGCTGACGATTGTATGTGCCGTTTTCCTTCTGCCAGCGCTTGTTCCATGTGACTGTCATTCCTTGCTCCGCCCAAGCAATGCCTTGGCAGCCAGCTTCTTCCGGGCTTCACTTCCGCTAGGCACCGGGTCGGCAGCAGCAAACGCTGGCAGGCGTGGTGCTGCGGGGCCCTCCATGAGCTGCACCGCCCCCCACTGGACATGTGCTTCAGGGGAGTTCACACGGCGAGCTTTGAGGCTGGTGCAGGGCTTGCCGGCTGCCTGCCG